AGCAAAATGGGTGCTAATGGATTAAAAGCTGGCTTGGAAGGATTCGTAATTGAATTATTTCGATAGAAATATGTTTCTGGTAAAAAGATGAATAATAAGAGAAGTCTTATTGTTGCGAATGTTGCTATAAACCAAAAAAGTGATCTCCAACTGATGTATTGGGTTAGGAATCCTCCTATCGGTGGTCCAATTACTGGACCAATGAAAAATCCAAGATAAAAGATTCCAATCGCATTTCCTCTTTCGGTTGCGTTGTATATATCACTAAGCGTTCCAATCGAAAGACATTGAATGGCTGAAGCAGAAAAGGATTGAAGTGTACGAAATATCATTAACCAATATATATTCTTTGACAATGCACATCCAATACTCATCAGTATTATTAAAAATGCATCAAATAACAATACTTTTCTTCTTGTTCCTTGTAAATCAGAATATGACGCCCAAAATAGTGGCTGATAATTAAATACAAGTGACAAGTTTAATTTTGGCGACGTAAGTATGGTATATATAGATTGATTAATCAATCAATTGGTATTTTACTTACCGCAATTCCGTTAACATACAGATATGACGCGACGGCAGTGTTCACTAGCGTCTCAGTAGTTCTTAGATCTTCTCGTACAATCAATATCGCCGGGTAAAACGAACTAATATTGTGAGGAAAATAAAGATTATATATATATCAAAGCAATTTTATCACGTGTCACTTTATTTGGTACTTACGAGTTTCCTAGAGATCCTATTACACTTGTGATAGATAATAAAATTAACAAATTCCTTTTTTTTTTTGGAGACCAATTTTTTGGATCATCATCTATAAGTGATGTGGTTGATTCTGCAAGTAATTCATAATTAATTTTTTGTTTCATGATTGGTGATGTAATAATAACTATTTTTATTTCAGTTTGAAATCAAAAAAAAAAAAGTTTTTTGACGGAAAAAAATTAACTTAGTTAAATGAAAAAGAAAAAAGGTCATTTACAATTTCCAATTAATTTCGGGTTATTAAAATCGTGGCCAAGCATATATTGCGAATAATCAATCTTCAATCTTAATAAGAAAAAAACCAAATGATTCATGTGCTCACTTTTTTCTAGGTATTTAGTGAATTTGTGTATTTTTAATCAGCCATAATTTCGTATTTGCAATGAATTGGTTCTTTTTTTTTTCTAGCATAAATATTTAGTAACTGATGATGGCTTTGAACCGAAATCTTTATGGCGCAGTTATCAATTGTCCAATCGTATTATAATCTAAGCTAAGCCTAAATAATTTCCAAGCCAATGACGTCACATGATCAAATAACGTGCTTTAGCACATCACGGGAATGATCAAATTGTTACCTGTAGGGAGGCAATATTATTTTTTAAAATTAGTCGAATGTTGATCACTTGGAAATTATGAAAAGAAAGAATTTACAAAGGATGAAAAGTACAAAATTTATTAACAAAAGCTTTATGAACAAATTGTAGCAAGATGCAACTATTACTGCATCAGCCGGCGCTCTGTAATAGGTCTTTAGAGAAGAGAATCTATCTAATTCATACCTATCTAAACCCAAGGCAAAACGAAGCCATTTTATACCAGTTTCCTGCCTAGTGCTTCGTTATGTCTTTTAAAATGTAGTAAATTGTTATTTGGAGAAAATAAATGAAATTTATTTTTGTTAAAAAAGGACCATCTTACGAAGTATGTTTTTCGGCTTCAAACTTGAAAAAAAAAATTTTTTTACAACAACTTTATAAAAATCCGCAACCAAACAATAATTAAAATTAGGATATACTGTAACATGATTAGGAGAAGCAATTGCCTGTTTATGACGATCGCATCAACTGTTTCGGCGCTTTTATAAGCGGTTCTATCTGCCATTTTATTTCGGGATTCTTCAAATTTTTTGCGAAGTTCGACAAGGTCTAGATTTTCATTATATTCCTTTACATAATCTCGAAATTTTTTTGATCTTTCGGCATGTTTTTTCTTGAACCTATTTTGAATGTTTGCAAGTATTTTATCAATGTTGTATAATTTAGTAATAAAAATTGATTAAAAAATAAAATTATGAACAAAATTCTATCTAACAATAACTAATTAAGATAAATAATATACTGTACATGGAACTTCACTTGACAACCATCAACCGCAGTCATAGGTAATGGCTACAATACTTTCTTTTAATTGATTGAAATAGAGGTTGGAACCGGTAAATAATGATTGTAAAAATGTAAAGGAAAATTTGAATAAAATAATTTCGAAAAAGAAAATTTTTTTGATTAAGAATAATTTCAAGAAAAAAAAGAAGGATGCGAAAATAATATAATTTCAAGAAGGAAAGAAGAATTTGAGATGAAAATGGAAAAAAAATATTGTGGAATAAAATAAGGATTTTAGGCCTCTAGGCCCGCAAGTCTTGAATAATCATATTATTCTTGAAGTAATATAAAACTGTTTGGCTGAATGTTTCCATTATTACTCGTGGCTTCTGAAAAAGTTCTGTGAAAATGAGCCCTTCACGGAAAACATGTATTTTTATAGGGTCAAACGATCTTAAAAACTTTCATTATCTCGAATTTCAAGGAAATTTTTTTTTCATCTTTCTTCTTGTGTTGGAATTTTTTCCACATTCAAGGTTTTTCTCGATTTTTAAAATTACGTTTTAAAAGAAGACGACATTTGTTTAATGATGGTTGAATAAGCAAAGTTCTATTTATTGTTCAATTTTTTTTAGTCAGAGTCATGAAATTATTTATTAATAACATAATTTATAATTTTAAGGGGATAAATTAGGAAATTTTACCAATCAAAAGATTTTTTAAGCTTTTATATCACTTGCCAACTTAGTATTTGAAAAAAATATATAAAGTCATAACCATATTATGATTTGATTTTCAGCTCTCAAACGGAATTAAGGGAGAAACATTTTAGAAAGACTATTGGAAGTAGTGCTCCGAGCCGGACAATTACGGGTCATTAACTTGAATTAAGTTTACGAGTTTTGGGTCGTAATTAAAGTTACTATAATAATAAACATATAGAATCGATTTTTTGCTAACGAAGTTATCATTTTCATTTTTCATGGAAAAAATATTGAATACATTATTTACTTTATTAATTCATGTATTGATGATAATTTTATATCCTAAAAAGAAAGTACTCGCTAGCATTTTATTTCAAATATATTATTTGAACCTTTCTGTTCACAGGCTGTGAACGGCTCCTAATATTATTCCGATATATTAACGTTTCAAACTATGAATTATTGCGGATCTTCGATTAATAATATATAAATATATTTTTTTTAAAAAAATATGCATAAAATTAAAGCAAACAATTAATAATCTTGTGAAAAATGTTGGTCTAGCAAAACCACCTCCAAACGCGTATTGAATGTCGTAATAAGAACGAACAATAAGCAAAAAATCCTTACAAGATATATTCACGAAATTTTGGAAATTTTCTGCTTGGTTATCCAATTAGAATTGATTCACTTTCAGGGTATTATAGAATGTTGAAAAAAATTATTATCGATTTGCTTCGAAATTTATAGAGATGAAGATTCTTTTAAGTATTATAAAATTGGATGAAATATGATAAATTAGTTATTTGATGGGTGGATAGAATATCAACGAACCGCGAAGCAGTTCGGATAATGTTTTAACACCCTATCAAATAACTGCAGTCACACATGTTATTTATAGCTTACTAGAAAAATATCAGCATGCTTAAAAACCATGATCCTATTTGGCTGTAGAATAATTGGATAATAATGGAGATAGAGATAATAATGTGTAGAATAGAATTTTTTTGTAATTAAGCTTCTTTACTATAGTTAAATCAATTTTATATAATCTTACTAAATCGATGTATTTTCACATTTTAATAACTTTGAATACTACTTAATTATTTTCTTCCAAATTCTGTAAAATCGTCCCAAATAATTTTTTTTTTTTAAAAAAAAAAAGTTCCAATTCAAACATTAATAAAGTAATACTTTGTGCGCAGCATCTTGAGAGCTATATATTTTTTCTTTGGATTTTATTCAAAAAACGATCTATTCATGTTTCTTAAGCGATCATGTTTATGACATTACGCGATCGTTTCAAATTTTTAACTTTAAAAGATTTCAGATATTTAAGAAAATTACCTATCAACAATTAAAAAATAATCTCTATTAATAAATTTCTATAAGAGACTATACATAGTTTTGATTTGATTTGATTAGTTGACCGCTCGCCGTATTGCGGCGAGTAATCACTAAGCCTCACATAGCAGTGATTGAATACGTTTGGAAATGGTTTTGGAAAAAAAAAATCTTTCTGATGATTATGCTGCTGTTTAAAATTTTACATAAGCTTGCTTTTACTTTATATATTTTATTTCATTTAAGAAGAGGGGATGAAGATGCGAAGGGAGTCATAATTTTTATTATTAAGATTATTAATAAAATATCATATAAGAACGTTGCCAGTAAAATCTTTTTCTTTTGTAATTACATGGTTAACTTTGTTCGAAAAGGGAATTATGAACTTAATTGTAAAATTCACGTAATATAAAATAAAATTAATATTTATATTATAATTATAATACTTTCTAATCTTTATTCTACAAGTTTAATTTAAACTCCAAAAGAAGTTATTAATCTAGTTTCTTCCATACAGTTAATCTAAGATGTAAAATTATTTGAACTAACCAAACCCAGGCAATAATGCAATATTTTTATTTCTTGCTCGTTTTTGTAGAACATCAAATTTACAATTGCTAAATAAAGACAAGAATTTTATTGACTATACAAATGGAATTGATTTTCATTTCATTTTTAGACATTATCCAAACTTAAACTTTTAATTTGTTCGTTTTTAATATATTTCACCTATGACTTATTCAGTGGTGACAATAATTTTGAAATCCCACGAAAAGAGTTTCATTATTTAAAAAAATTACTTCAAATTCAAAAACATAGAAGGTTATTGTTACTTATTTGATCTTTACTGATGCACGATCACGAGATTTTTTGAATAGTTTTTTAACGTGATATTTAACAATGTTCTTTATAACCTAGAATGAAAATTTGCTGTTATCCTAGTGCCTTTATCCTTAATCTATGCAATGAGACAATTTAATAAAGTTTAACAACATATACAAATCGGTTTGGCTGCCGCATTTCATCAGAAATGTGATAATAAAGGACCCATCTTATAATAAATGTAAGAAAATCGCCTGCATATTAAGTTGATAAACATGAAAAATCTCATAAGCTGAATCAGTTACCCATAATTAAATATATAAAACTCTTTAAAATCAGCATTTAAATTTATTAAAGAAATACAACTATTATCGGCCAGCGCTCGATAATAGAGCTTCTAAGTCTATCCTATAGTAAATGTAAAGCAAAACGAAATCTTTTTATACAATGTTTTTTCTTCCCATGGCTTCGTTAAGGAATTCTCTAAAAGATATCAATTAATCTCGGCTGAAGGACCAAATAGACTTGATAGACTAATTTTTTGATTCTGATGTCATACATGGCCGAAATGACATTTCGTCCAGATCTCCGAGATAGACCTGAAGGTCCGTAATGCCGACACGGCCAGAATGTATCGCCACGATTAATTTGAGCGCAGCAAATTTCCCGTGTGATATTATCAAATCTATTATATTTGTTTTTTCAATAGTTACTTCTTATGACTTTATAATCCTGGAGAATAAGGCTTACAGTAATAAAATAAACGATTATATATTATAACACTTTACTGAAAGTAAGCCTTACAATAAAGGTTACATCATACTTAGAGTGGTACAGTAGTTGTTTCATTATTTATTAACATTTTGAAGTTACTCGCTCGGTCATACTCAATCTCTCTCTCTCTCTCTCTCTCTCTCACAATAAGTTAGCTTCCTCTAAAATCTCGCGTCGAGAGAGCAAATCTATATCTTCTTGGAGGAGGAGGAGGCGTTGGTTCCTTTTCAAAGTTAAAATAAAATTATGAGAGATAATATAATCGTAATAAACTTTTGCAACAACATTATGAAATAAAACAAAAGTTTCGTTAGATTTGATTAGCAAGAAAATATTGCAGATACACACCCAGTAGCCATGATATTAATCCTCATAAATCTTGTGTTATGGTGCAACTCGAAAATTTGCACCTCCTCCATAAACTTTTCGTTATCTACATTTGGAGGAAGCAGAGGCTCCTTTCAAAGTAAAAATACGAGTATCATAATAAGAAATAAATTTCATCAACGTTATCCATATCATTCGTCCTCAAGATATTCAGCCTCCACAATCTCGAGATGTTCTTGCAACTTGAGAATTTCTGCCGCCACCATGAGCATTCAATATCTTCATCTGGGGGAGGAAGCGATTCCTTTCAAAGTGTAAAAAAAATTTATGAGAATAATAAGAATATCAATAATTTCAACAACATTTTCAAAATATTAGCTTACCTTGGAGATGTTTATCAAGAATGTTTTACAGAAACTCGACGAGCCTACCTAAAGTATCTCGGCCTCAAAATTCTGGAGAATTTCTACCTCCGCCATGAAAATTTTAATATCTTCACCTAGAGGAAGAGGCGTTCTTTCAAATTATAAAAGATGAGAGATATAATATATTGAAAACACCCAACTAAAAAGCATTAGTTACTTTGTAGTTCTTTATGAAGAACTTTTCTAAATAACTCGTTGTTTCTTTTTATCCTGCCACCAAAATCTCGATTTGCTCTCTTAATTTAGCTTCATATCAATAAAATTTCTTTATTTATCTGATGGAGGCTATTGTTGTTACTATGGATGCTTTAGGAAATAGTTTCTTTGGTGAGATTTGAAAAATGATATGATTTATCGAGTTTTTTCATTTCGTCTAAGAGTCATTTATAACTCGAGAATTTCTGATTCCGGCATTAAATTATTTTTGGTAAGATTTATGATGCTTGAATAAACTAAATCATTGCAACTTAAATTGATTTAACAATATTTTAGCCAATAAAATTTATATTGATCATGTGTTATATGCAAAGGTCTGCAAATTCACGTGAACATTGATCCCATAAATATTGATTTTGATATATAAGTATACGGTATTTTTTTTCCATTACAAAACAACTTCGTGATTTTTATTATTTTTATTATATCTTTACTTTACAAAATCATGGGAAAACAAAGAATAATTCATTTCTATAAAAGAAGCGTTGCACATCAAAGACGCCGACTACAACAACAACAACAACAACAACCACCACCACCGCAACCACCGCAACATAGAGGTTGGAACCGGCCCAAAATCCTTAACCGGTTAAAATTTCTTTAACCGATTATTTTAACCGGTTAAAAAAAATCTTTAACCGTTAACAAGATAAACGTCTTAACCGGTTCCAACCTCTACCGCAACAACCACAACAACCAACAATCGCCGCGACGACAACGTCGACAACGACAGCGACGACTACGTCGACAACTACCGCAACCATCACAACCATCACAACAACCACAAAGTCCTCCAAGTCCTCCAAGTCCTTCAAGTCCTCCACCATCATATGAAAGCATTGGAAGTCCTCCAACATCATACGAGGATGTTATTCTTGAAATAATGATGCTGGAGCAGATAGAATCTGCGGATGGAGGAGACGGAGGTAAGCAACCTTTAATAATTTATCCTAATTATTTAATGTTTCTAGTTGTATAACCAACATTTATCCTTTTATTTTCGTTTTAGGGGAAGAAATGGAAGAATAAATTTGTATTATTATTTTTATTTTTAATTTGTATATTCACTACCTATTTAATAGCTAGCATGCTACGACTTTGAAAAGATGACGTGTTAGATACTAAATTATTGTGAATTGTTAACGATCACTTATGGTAACAAAACACAGGTTTCTGCAAAGTAATTGTGAATTATGAATGCAATATGATCTTATACAATATAGAAAAATACATCAAAAATTTAGACAAATTAATTCAGTTATTCAACGGCCTTTACCCCTTTAAGAAACTATGTCTGTTATACGCAAAAACCATTAATTTTTTAAAAAAATGATTGATCACATATATGTAGCAAAAGAAATCAATATTGTTGTTGTTATTGCTCATATCCATAAATTTGGTTATTTCCCATCATATTTAGCTTTATTATTTCATTGAAACACTGGTATAAACATTTTAAAAAAGTCTAGTAGCGTTAATAAATTCTTCTTCATATCTACGCACTCCTATTTCCTCTCAATACCTTTTTTCTTAGATTGCAAAGTGCTGTGATGAATTCTTTAAATTTAATACGACCATATTTAAACCTTTACAATAATTGTGGAATTATCTAAACTAAATACTCTTTTCGCATCATATTTATATCGCAAGGAGAGACATAATTTATTGGACTTTTCCAATTGAAATAAAATGTAAAAAGAATAATAAATTATAGAGTCCGTTTGAAGATTGCAATTATTTTTTTAATTATGACTTCGTTTTTTTATATTTATTTATTTTTTTTTTTGTGAAAGGAGAATCGTATTTTTTTTATTATTATATTACCTTTTTTTTTTATAAATTAAGATAATGTAATTAATGAATTAGCTGGTTTTGCGATTTTGCGATTTGATATACAGATTTAGTTTTAATATTTAAAGTTCATTATAAAAAGTGTTACGGTCAAAAAGAGCTAAAAAATGCAAGTGTTCTTAAATAACAATTTATTTTTTTTTTGTTTAAAATTTTACAAGTGATATGATTTTTTTTATTTTTTGTTTTTTAATATTAATCGTCATTGACTTTAGAACTTCAGAGTGGCTTTTTTTTTTTAAAAGGTCAAAAAGAATTTATTTAGCATTTGAGAAGAATAGACGATGATATAGGGTTTGACAAAACGGACAATGTTGTCAATATTGTGTGACGCTTGGCTTGTGTCAATATATGGGTTGTGATCTAAGAAAATCAAGTTCTGAGAATTTTTTATCAAAATTGAGATTTTAATTGCATTTTAATTTTTATTACATTTAGATTAAAATGTAATAAGATATTAATTTTAGTCAAAAATTTACTAATAATGAAAAGAAATACAAAATTGGTTTCGTTCTTTTTTTGACGTGTCCCAGCTTTACAAGATTATCAAAAAACATGTAAACATAAATCGTGTTTTTTTTATTGTTGGTATTTTTTTCATGTGGATATACAGACTATTCAAAATCTGTAAAGTAAAACCTACGAAGGTGCAGATTTATTTTTACCAAGAGATTCGATGATATTTGGAGTGGTGATGATATATCCCTTGCAGGACTTTTCGGAGATTTACCACCTTGTCGTGAATTTGTTCGACCTTCTTATCGTACAACTTTATTATAAAAAGGCACCCAAATATCTGTTTGGCTGCGTTGATAAATAAAAAGAAACTGAAGAATCAGAAAAATAAATCAAAATTAATAAAAAAAAAAGTATTTTATCGATATAAGCGATCCAACTCTTAATAAAAGAAAAGAAATTTTAAAAAAGAAAATAACAAAATAAATACCTATTATTCGATCAAAACCGAATGAAGAATTTAAAAAGAACCTAAAAACCTATACCACGCAATTCTAACCTAAAAAAATTAAAAAAAGAATATTAATTATTATCGATCAACAATAAACTAAGGAACTGTTAAGTCAAAACATTATAATTGTGCTAGGAATTTTTTTTCATGAATAAACTTTTTTTTAAAAAAAATATTTAAATATCCTCGTCAAATTTTAATTTTTCACAAAGCCAAAATTACATATATTTACCTCTACTTTCCAAAATCTTACTAATATTATTCTAAATTTGAAAGTTTAAATATTAATTGTAAAAAAAAATTTATTATTATGTGAAATGTTAATGCCAAATTTTTGAAATAACTTTATGATGAATATAGCATACCTAAACTAGCCAACCTAGCATACAAGCTAGCGACATATTCCACCGCCCGTGCCTCATTTTCTTTATTCTGACTTAGTATAAGGTCAATATGTGACCGGGACAAACAAAGAGCAGTTTGTCCCGGAGTCATTTGGTATTCATAAGGAGACAGCGGGACGTCTACGTCAAATGATGGCGGTTGGGGTTGAAGTAGTGTGTCCACACTTGGTTTTAACTGAAAATCAGTTCAATATATGATCGGGACAAACTAAGAGCAGTTTGCTCCAGAGTCATATTATATTCATGAGGCGGCGCCGGGAAGGTTACGCTGCCCGTGCCTCCTTTTCTTGATGACGACGCAGTAAATAGTCAATATATGACTGGGACAAACAAAGAGCAGTTTGTCACGGAATCATTTGGTATTCATAAGGAGGCAACGGGACAGCTACGTCAAATGATGGCAGTTGTGGTGGTTTTTGTTGTGGTGAAAGCCCTGTTACAGTTGCCTGCGGCGTCGAATTGCCACCTTGAACCTTTTCGCATAAAAATTTTTACTTGTGCCTGATAATTTTTTTACTCATATGTGAGTTAAAGAGTCAAAAATTTTAAAAAAATAATTTGGAGATAAGGGTGAAAATAGTAAAGGGAGAAGGAACTATTCAAAAACGTTTTTATTTATTTTGCGTGTACATATGGTGCATTTTGCAGTAGAAAGGAAAGAAACTAAAAAAAATTTTTTTTGCCCTTCCTGCCCATATATTTATCGGTCGAAAAAAATACTTTTCCAAAATGATGTAAAAAAAAAAAAACTTGTTTAAACCTGAGAAAAAAAAAAGTCTACAAGTAAAATATAGGATCTTCATGACAAATAATTTTTTAAAACTAATAGTCGAAGAACGTGTATATTAGTAAAAAGAATGACGTTCTTTTTGTCCCTTATCGAAATAAATTTTTTCTGTGGATTTTCAAATTACATTGTTTATGTTTAAATATAGTGTATTGTCTTGCATAAATAACTCGTAAAGTATTTTTTAACAAATAAATTTTCAGGGGTTCAAAATATGATCAAAAAAAATCGTTGCATAAGCCGATTGATTTTATTCATTATATCTAAAAATTAATTGCATCATTCTTACAACGAAGTATACATTAGTTAGAATAACCTACCTATAAACATTGAATAATAGTAGTACAAACAATATATTCTCATTAAAACAAAATTGATAAAAATAATTTAATAATTAATCATATCTTCAAATTCAAAGACCGACTAAACATATTAATTTTTAATATATATATATATACATACGCCTTGCATAATCAGGATAACTACCTTTTATATTAACTGCAAAAAAAAATTTTCACAACTTTTTTTTAATATTTTTTCAAATCACCAACATAAAAAAACAAAAGAAAATGAGTAAGGATAGCAAAGAAGCATTTTTTAAACAACAAAGACAACAGCAATTACAAAGCGAACAACAAAAATGACAACAACTGTATAAAGTGCTGCAAAAGCAAAATGAACTGCATTATGAAGAACTACTACCATCATATGGAATGGTAGTGGATGAAGATGCCATAACTTGAGCAAAAGATTCTTAGGTTAGAAGAAGGTAAGATATCTTTAATATTTTATTATAAGCTTGTTTAAAATAGGATTATCATTATTATTATAACTAATTATAAATTTTTTGTTTTAAGAAAAAAAAGGCAAAAGAGGTGAAAGAAGGGTGAAGAAGAGGAAGATGAAGGAGCTGAATGATGATGTTGAGATTAATGCTGATGTAGTTACAAAGGAACCATAATCTTTTTATCATATTAGCTAAATGATTTAAAATTTGTAACTCTTTACCAATTGTGCTATTCTGTTAATCTAATACACGCTATTTCTAAAATAAAGTTTATTTTTTATCCTAGCAACAAACTTTTATTTATTGACTTTCTATTATTCATATAACATGATAAATTAATCTCTCTAACCGCTTAAAAATGAGATTATACAAAACGCATCCAGAATACTAGTTAACATTAATTCACAAAAGTTAGACAAATTAACTTTTGTACTCTTAAACAATATCTGTTTATATTAAATAACTAATAAATTAATATGTTAACATAGTTCAAATCTGGTTATTAGTTCAAATGGTCTTTTATATTTTAGATTTCAATTGAAAAAAGTATAATATGTTCTCATTGCGAAATAAAAATGATGTAAAAAGAGAAATTTATTATAAAAATAACTAGAAGTTGCAATATGTAGAAGACTTCGTTCCCCATTAAGCATCAGATTAAATATCTTATATTCATATAAATAAATTTAAATTATAATCAATAATATTCATATCTATATCTACATAAATATTTTGTTGCATTTGCAAAGTTATTTAATAAATTTTAAAATAGGAGAGTTTTTTAATAAACATTTTATTAGATTAAAATTTTTATTTATTTAAATATATACTATATTAAAGTAAAGAAATATTTGATTTTTGTTCTAATCTTTCATATTCTTTAAGCATTGATTTATCTGTAATAAATGCTAAAGAATGTAATGAGACAATGTGCACTTTTGACAAATCAGAGCATTGGCTTAATGCAACATAGGCTAGATCAGCAGAAAATATTTTTTGAGAGGATCAGCAATCCTTACTTAGTGGTTAAGCCGCGAGTCCCTATAAGCTAAAGTTTCATTATACAGCGATAGACTATAATTCAGGTATCGTGCGATACATAAAACTGTATGATTTTTCATAAGGAATTTCTTTGTAACTGAACAAGTAGGCGTATATACTAATATGCATTAGATTCTAGTTGATTCGATCTGTCGATCAACATTGATCATGCCTAAATACTGCATGGCGTTAGAACATAGGAAAGTAAATAAAGCTAGAGATTGACAGAAACTTGGCTTTTGCTGATTGGTCTATAATGGATACAGTCTTCCTTCTCATCCGGCAGGGGCCCTTATTTCCATAAGCTTGTATACATAAATGCATATGTTTATCAATTAAGGAAGTGATTAACCAGAAATTAGTAGATTAGATCAACAGTGATAAAAGATGCATTGCACGCCGCAGCATCGTCTAATCGAGCATATCATTAGGTCTGAGGTTAGGTTCAATTCCTAAGATGTTTGTTGATATGGCCAGATTATCACCCTGCTAGTTTACCATTTGGGCAAATCTTGTGATAATAATCCCATGAATCCTACGGCATTAGTTAGGTAAGAGTATACCCTAGCAAAGTATATGGTGTAATAGATTCCTCAGTCCTATAATAGTATGTAGTTCCTGGATGGGTGTAACCGGAGGGGGTGTCAAATCCTCTGTAAGGATTTAATTCCACCGACAAGGCAATATCTGGGCAAGTTTATCGATGTGGGTTGCTAATGAACATATGAGCTGGCGGAAACCTAGAGGATGTGGCCGACATATAGTTTCATAAGATTTTCATTATAACGTCACAAAACCATCACCAAAAACTGAACTGTAATAAAAAAAAAAAGAAAATATTTTTGGAAAACTCTTTCCTGTTTATCCCAAAATAACCCGAAAAAATAGCGAGCAAAAACAAAAACAACGAGAACGTTCATCTTCACCGTTAATAATACAAAAAGCAAAAAACAAAATATAATGCAAACAGTGGAAATTCCACCCACCCAACAAACTACTAAGACTTCAGAACTGGTAGTGTCTATGGAACTCGACCCTTCGCCTTTGAAAAAAGGCAAAGAAAAAGATACTTTGGAAGAAACTCCAGAAAATACCACCACCACTCTCGATGCTGACGCCAGTTTTAATGCGTCAGAGAACTTCTTGGATAAAAAAAATACGTCCTCAATCCAAGCTTTTGAATGTCAAAAACCTTCTTTCTACAGATATTTTCCCTTCGAAGAATTTCCATGAATTTCTCTGCAGCAAAAAGTCTCTTCTGTTGTCGATTTGCTTTTTGACAAATACGATTTGTTCTCAGGAGTGACATTAGCCAAACACCCAACTGACCAATCATAATGTATCATCAAAATCTCCTTTCGTAACCAGGAAGTATGTGAACATGCTTGTTCAGTCCAGTTACCCAATTTGGAAAATCACACATTTTTACCTCTTAATGTAATGCGTACATAACCATATGTCCCTGTAAGGTCGATCAGGGTAACTGAAATTCCCCTGGATTCTATGAAACACAGAATCAAGATGACATTTGCCCGATTTGAATCGATTGTCCGTTTTATTATGGAAACAAAGAATATGTGGCAACAGGCCACTATTAACTTTGTGGAAGATGTAAATTTCAGGAGACTAAAGGATTGCTATGATCTTTTTATACGTAACGACATAGTCAGATTCCACATGTATGATCAATCTCACTCAGATATTCAGGCACGTTCCAAATTTTTAGCAAAACTTGCCAGTCTTCCTATGTTTATGACTGGTAAATAGCTCGAGGAGATAGGAAGAATGGTCAACACTATTGCTTAGATTATCCCTAAAGCTCGCTCCAACTACCACAATTTACAACACGCATTTTTCTATTTTGCCAATGCAGACGATTTTGAAGCTGCGATTTCCAATGACAATCTTACCATTGATGGTAAACATGTAACTTGGACCAAGTCGAAAGCAAAACTTTGTGCTATTTGCTCATCACCAAACCATAAAGCTAATGGATGTCCATAACGTAGAAAATTTCCAGCTGATCGAAACATATAAAATCTTTATCAAAGATTTCAACCAGCACAATACTTTAACTATAAGGTCCGCCTAAAAAGATGAGAGGCGCAGTAAACCCAGACATTACTTTTGCCCATGTTACTAAACCACCATCTACTACGAATATCGATAAACAATCTACCCATAAGAAAATAATAATAATAACAATAATACGCATAACAACAATAACAACCGAAACAAACTACCTTCTCATTCTAACAACAAACAAAATCCTCAATCTGTTTTATGGTCTGACGATATTCCGCCAAACATGAACGAAGAAATTTTTTTCAATAATACTATTTGTCATACACCTAATAGCATGGTATATAAGGGTACCAAAGTAGGCAGATACATGCATACTAACAATGATGATGGATTCAAAGAATACGTCAAATCCCAATTTATTAATCTTAATGAAAATTTGAGCATCATAATGAGCAATTTAGCGTTTACAATTAAAAGAGTTGAATCTGTTGAACAATCACTCAATATCAAAGTCATTACTCCAGTAGAAGCTGACGTACAAAATCTTAATTCTGGTGAAATGGAAGAGAAAGTTGAACCTACTATCAACTCATCTGCATCCATCATTCTTAAATAACAAAAAACCATTGAAGGCTTCAGAAATATTAATGCCATACATCAGAACCGCCTCAAGTCCTTTACTACGATGGTTAATACTCTAGTTCAATTGTGCGCTACTTTTCAAAACGTACTGTTGAAAAATAATTTGCTCCCCTAAGAACAGGCCAATAATATCTTTCTATTTGGTGTAATATTTAATACTGATATTGAACGTTATATCAAAGACCTCCCTCAATATTAATTTTTTTTAATGAACACTGTCCCTGCTGATAATAATGCACAAGATGTATCAATTCCTAACACAATCCCTTTAATTCAAACTCCTCCTCCTTTTTTATCTTTCGCTTCACATAATATCCGCAGCTTTACTAATACCTCTAAACAGCATTTCCTCATTGAACAATATCTTTCCTTAAATATAGATGCCATAAGTCTACAAGAAACGAACTCCTCTAACAACATATTCGACCATTTAATTTTGAACACCATCTAACTTCATCGGCTTTTTTAGTTCTGAATCATCTCCTAATTGAAGTGGCTTTGACGTAAGCATTTTACTACGACCATTGCTAGCCAATCACGTCTTTTACCATAAACATTTGCTTAACAGAATTATTTATGTTGACCTTCAATTTACTAACAAATAAAAATTAAGATTTATCAACTGTTACTAGCCTCCATCTGACATTTCATCAAGAAAATTAGTCCAAAAAGAACTAGTAAAATTGCTAAATGATGCTATTTCCAGGGATTTTCACATTATTCTTACCAGGGATTTCAATGCCGATATGGATCGAGACAAAAACCCAAAGGGCGTAAAAGAATTTTTTCATTGCTTCAAAATTTGCATTTCTTCGATACATGCACATTGAAACGCAGTAATGATCAGGTCAAATATCTAATTTTTCAAATCAACGAATTCAACTTCTCACATCGATTTTGTTTGGACTTCAGCAGAATGTGCCTATAATTTTAATACTTGTAACACAGTATCTGTATTACCGCAAATTTCTGATCATGCAATTGTAACTTGTTCCATAGATAACTACATAGATGTCAAGAATAACAAATGAAACATTCCAAAAAAGATGATATACGATTATGATAAGATGACCGATGAACACTGGAAGGAATACAAAGACAAATTAGACACCCTTATCAATAGTTGTGAACTGCGCCTATTAAAATTTAACTCAAAACTTAACCAGATTAAACTTAATTTTTACTGGGACTTGTTGCAAGCTTGTATAATCAAAGCTGCTAATAACATTATTCCATCACAT